CTTAGCTAGGACACACACACACACACACACACACACACACACACACACACACTATATGCATACACACAGTCTTGCAATGTTTCCTAGTTGCTAATCTACAGAGGGTGCCAAAAAAATGTATACACATTTTAAGAAAGGAAAAAAACTGTATTAAAATTGTAATACTGAATATAGACTGATAACAAAAGGTGAATACAAGTCACGTTTGACTTCTGCAATTATAAGAGGTGCTCAAAGTGGTTCCCATCAGCATCCAGACACTTCTGATTATGGAGAGCTACTGCTTGAGCAATGTTGACCAAATTGTCCACTTGTACACATTTTCATTTATTTGGCACCCCTGGTGTATGTAAAATATATAAATAAACCTATGCATACATGACCATACAGTCTTACATTGGTTTTCAATTGCTAATATATATAAACACACACAGTCTTGCATTGTTCGCTGATTGTTTCTTATTACTTCATTTGGTCTCTTAAACTTCTTTCTTTAGGAAACAGATCTTTTGTGCGTTCTATATAGTCATCACATTAGCGAATGCAGTCCACGCCATCAATAAATACATGATGGTCCATTCATTCATTATGCTGCAAATATTTATTGAGCACTTACTTTCTCTTGTTTCTGTTTTTGTTTGTTTGTTTGTTTGTTTTTTAACAAAATGTCTAGGCAAACTTCAGTGAGTAAGACAAGCAGGTCCCTGGCTCCCGAAATGCACATGAACCACTGAATAGCCAAGATGGTTTCTTAAACTTTTTGATAAGTATATAATAGATGCCCATTCTAGAAAAAGAATAGAACTGAAAATCAAAAGAAGAAATGTAAGATCTATATTATCATCAGAAGGATCAAGTTTCCTTGAAAACTTGCCCCCATCCCCCTGGTGGCGTACAGAAAGATACCTTATAGACAGCTAACAGGACGCTGCCCCTCGCCCCCGCTTTTTCTCCTGTAAAAGTTCACAGTGTCAGACCTTACTGCAAGTTCAAGTAATTACCCAATGTGAGTGCTGGCTACAGCTGGGAACCCTTTCCTCCCCATTAGCAAAGGCAGGCTTCAGAACATATTATGAAGAACGGCCTAGAGACAACTACATTCCTGTTCGCCATGTTCCGAAGAACCCCAAGTAGCGGCATGCTTAAGTAACAGACGAGTGCATGGAAGATGCCCATGAAAGCAGATGTTAAAATAATGCAGGGACAACGTGGCCCACGGTGACTCAGAAGGGGCAACGTGCAATTTCAACCAACTCCATGCCACCCATCTTTACACATTGCCATGCTGTAAAAAATAGTCCTTTATTCTCCTCCTCGAAACAAAGCACAAAGGCAACACAGGGAAGGAAGTTATGTTGCAATATTCTGAAACATAAATCTTGCTACTAGCCAGTCCGGGGACAGTATCCTGTTTTCCTGACACATGGATCAGACGCCCTGGAGGCTACCCTACAGGCCTCGTGTCCTGTTTTTCTGAGTGGCTTCTGAATCATACCCAATCACCTGCATTTACACATCCAAACATAGGTTGTGCAAGCAGAAATCGCTGTTTGTATGTCCAGTTACTCAACCAGCATGTACAATTGCACGTTGGCACACCTTGCTCTTACTCAGGAATTCACTCTTTCCCAAACTGTGACATTCAGTTTCATTTTTTTTTTCTTCTAAAGTTAAATAAAAATTAAACTTAGATTCCAATGTATGGAAGAGGCCAAAGGAAGACATTTCTATTCACTCCCAGCATTTTATTGGCCTGCTATGCTATCTGTCACTGTACATACCCTCCCCCCCTTTTCTTTATGCTTTGATTAGAATTCAGAAATCCTGTGGCCCATTTCCAGTGGGGTCATCAATGCGTCAGGGAGAAGGGTTTAACTATTGGTGCCTCATTTTATTCTGGGAATCTGAGGTAGATAATGCTTGTTATTGGCAGATCAGAGGTGGCGAAGAGAGTGACTGTTTGGCTTGCTTGAGTACAAGGCCTTCACAAATGTGATGAGGCAGGGTTTTGAGAACTGGAAGAAAGTGAGCACAGGTTGAAGTCCGCTGTGAAGGATTAAAGGCACAGGCTCTGAGAAATGACCATGGACATGCAGCTTGGGTAGAAGCCACACACAGCTGTGGCCATTCAAGGGTGATTTTGTTGCCTATGGACCGTCTTTTCACTGCGGGGAAGACACCATTTTAGAATTCCACTTAGGCTCAAAACACTCCCCCCCCCCCATTAGAGAAAAAGATGTCTGAATTTAGCACTAGAGGGCAAAGAGTAGAGGCATCTTGGCTATATGCAAATGCTGAGAAAGCTGCTGCTGTTTTTAACGGTGTTGACACATATGGCCTTACACTTTGCATAGACAAAGAAGAACAGGTTTTGTGACATCCGAGTAAACTGTTATGGGGATTTAGCAAAACAGTCACTTTTGTTATCTGTCACTAAGAGAATTCCTGACATGTCAATCCCGAGACCCTGAGCATCTGATACTTTTACATGGCTTCTGATTCTTCATATCCTATACCTTAATGGTATTTTCTCTCGGAAATCTGACCTATTCATCTTTAGGGTCTTATAAAGGGGAATTTCAGTGACTGGTTTTTGTTTTTTTTCTTAATACAGAATTTCTCAACCTTAGCACCTTTGTCACGCAGGGCCAAAGAGTTCTTTGTTGTGGGAAGTAGTCCTGTGTGCGGTAGGATATTTAGCAGCATCCCTGCTCTCTACCCACTAAATGCCAGTAGCATCCATCCCCCTGCCCCCAGCCGTAGCAATAAAACATATCTCCAGACATTGCTAAATGTCCCCTGGGGAGCAAAATTGCCTTCGGTTGACAACCACTGGTTTAAAATGACCTAATGAAAGATTAAAATAAATGAACCTTGTGTTTTAGTGCATTGAAAACAATTCTATCAGCAGTAGAAAGTCATACTGGGAAACAAAAAGGGGTGTCTTTGTGGGGATTAAGCATCTATAGATAACTAACTCATTGCTGAACTAGTCTCCCAAAGGTATAAATGAGAATTACCTCATGTAGGTGCTGCAGCACGAAATGCGGGGACACAAGATCATGGAGAAAGCTGTCTCTTTTGAAACCAGTCCACCTGGGCAAGACTGGCTACCCTGCCATCTCTCCCCACCTTTTATTTATTCCCTAACCATCACCTGCAAAACACATGGCATCCGCCCAATAGGGAACAGCCGATTTTTAGATAAGAGGTCTATAGAGATGGACATTTTCAAAAGTACTGTTTATTTAATGCAGCATGACTTAAAATGGGCCTGTAACCTGACAAGTGTACTGAATGAGGAATGTTCAATTTACCAGTTCTCACCAGCCAAGTCCTCACATGAACTTTCGAAGACCCGGCTGAGAAGCCTGAGAAAGTGTAACTAACCACAAACCCTCAGCATTTCCTCCACCGGCGTCCTTCTCGCCAGCCCTACCTCCGCTACCGTAAGCATGCTCCTAAGACCCACGTAATGCTCCAGGCGTATTATAAAACCTCAGCCGTCGGCAGAACCTACAGCCACCCCAGCTGACCAGTTCTCCCTGCTCCCACGTCAACCAACACTGAAAGGAAAGATTCTGTTCTATTTTTAAATATATTGAGCAAAGGAGAAGCTTGATATGTCTTTGTAAAGGATGGCTGTCACCCAACTTCACCGTTACTCTATTTTTATCAATGGTATCGACTTTGGAAGTCAGATAAATTTTGGGTTCAAATCCCAGGTCTTTATTTGTCAACTGTGTGATTTGGGGAAAATCACTTAACCTCTCTGAATCTCACCGTCTGCATATGTAAAACAGGAATGGTAATACTAGTGCCTAAACGGATGAGTGGGATGATATACACAAAACACAAGCCTTCCAAAATGTTGGCCATATTGTTACTATTATTGTTATTAACGTTTCTATATTCATCATTCACTCATTATTCAACAAGTACCATTCAACACCTTATATGTGCTGGTTGCCAGAAACAGTAAATATTGTAAAGTTGGTTTTCTTAATGACTCAATAAACATTTATTCAGTGCCAGTTTTGTGCTGGGTGCTGGAAAAACTCAATAAATATTATAAAATTGGCTTTCTCAATGACTTGAAATTTCAACCAAATAACAGTGAAGTATAAGAAATGTCTCTGCTGGTGAATAAAAAATACATTTAAAGTGCTTTGTAAGGAAGTCTGGCACATAGTAGGTACAAAATGTTACATGATGATGGTGGTACTGGTGGTTTTGATACTGAAAACCAGGTTGATTTGGCAACCTTTATTCAATTCACTTGCCAGAGTCCTCACTTAATGTTTGTCCCTAAGAAAACATTTATTTTTTAGTAAATGAGTACTGATCATGTGAGAAAGAACTTGCTTTTTCCCTCAAAGTAACAGTTTAATAGGAGTAGATTAATGTTGTTTATTGTAGGATAGGCTTATAACAGTGTAGCGCCTGGGAGGTAATTCTCACTACAGAAAGATAAATAAATTTTGACTAGTTTATAAGTAAGTATTAAAGTAGTTGGATTTGAAGCTTTCAGGATATATAGAAATGAGAGATATGGATCAAAAATATAATAATGATAACAATAATAATAAATTGCTCACCTATTTTGTAAAACAAATAAAGGCGGACATCGAACCCCTTGGTTAAAAAGAAATGGCTTCTTTTACATTAATTTATATTAGGCACCATTTTCTGTGGGAAAATGGGGATAAACAGGTTTAGACTTTTGTTTTTCCTTGTCACTAATTCTTTCACAATCCCTTAGTATTTCAACACAGTTTAATGCACTCTGTTGTGGGTCCTTAGCCCCTTAAATCTAAAAAAAAAAAAAAATCCATTTGTTTTCCAGTGTTTTTCACAAAATAGGAAGTGCCTAACTGTGATACAAAGTCTTTTCAGGACAGCAGAGTAAGAACCCATTATGCTTTCAGGCCAATAATCATGTTAGTCCAGCCCAAGCCAAGTTCAATGAGAAATTAATTTTTACCAACAGGTATCCTTACCTCAAATATGTTTGAAGGCTCATTGTTGTACTGATTGGATATTATTTCTGATTGGTCACTGCACCACTTGAGTCCACCCAGAAAACTATCAGTATCCAAGTCGTTCACGTCTAGTTCAGAGAGGTCAAGTTCAGGAAGATCTGGACAAAGAGGCTGGTCTTCACCAACCAAAGCAGCACACTGCAGGAGGCAGGGAAAAGAAAAAAAAAAAAGGAAAAAAAAAACCTGTCATTAACTTCAGGAATTTATTAAACTGCAATAGCATGTGATAGGAATTAGCCTGGTTAATTCAACAACACCACCAAAGCTGGTTTCTAGGGTTTTAGTCACCAGAAAAAAATCCTAAATTCTTTAACTTACTTTGCTCCCAAAGGATACTTTGCCTGCCCCATTGGATACCAAATTCTACCTCCAAATCCACAGTAAATGCCATGCTTCAGTGAGCCTTCTCTGATTTTTCCAGTTAGAAATCAACTGAAGTTGTTTGTGCCTCTTTGATAGTTAGCACCTACCGAGTTTCAAGTTTTTTTCTGGTTAAATACATGCAAAATTTCACTCTACACTTAAGAGTACAAACTCTTTGGGGGGGGGATATAAATTTGATTTTACCTTGGAATTGCTATCACACATAACAGAGACAAAACAAACAATTGCTAAATGAAAAAGAGAACATAAAAACTCTACTAGGAAAACTTTCTCCATTTATGCTCATTTTAACCATTATAATCCATATAATTCATTTAGCAACTAATGATGCAAAGTCCTTTAACATGTCCATGGTTCTCTTGAATTGTTATTTAAATCTTTTACTTGACTTCATGAACTTCTGAACTTCATCTCAACACAGG